TGTCGATTATCGGAACATCAACGCCGTGACCAAATCAGAATCATACCCAATTCCAAGGCTGGAGGACTGTGTGGAAAAGTAGGACAAGCCACTTACATCTCAAAGTTGGACTTATTTCGCAGTTACTGGCAAGTACCTTTGTCGGAGAGAGCAAAAGAAGTTTCTGCTTTTGTAACCCCAAATGGGCTTTATCAATTTAAAGTAATGCCCTTTGGAATGAAAAATGCACCAGACTTATGACCATAGTTGTGGCAGGATTGATTAATTGTGCCATCTACATAGATGACTTGGTGATCTTTAGCCATTTGTGGAAAGATCACATGGAGGATTTGGTAGAGCTCTTTGAGAGACTGCAGAAGGAAAAGTTGGTCATAAACTTGGCAAGAACAGAATTTGCAAAGGCGAAGGTGACATTCTTAGGGCACAACATCGAATATGGATGGATAACACTGAGGAACATGAAGACAAAGGCCATTGAAGAATTTCTAAGACCATCCTCGAAGAAGGAAGTGCTACGATTTTTAGGATTGAGTGGATTCTACAGGAAATTTGTACCAAACTTTAGTAGTGTGGTGGCACCAGTGATGGATTTGTTAAAAAGGAACACAAAATTTCAGTGGACAAAACAATGCCAGGAGGCATTTGAGAATTTAAAAGCAGTGTTAACCACTGCACCGGTTTTAGCCACAACAAATTTCTTGAAAGCATTTAAAGTTGCCATCGGCACAAGCAATGTAGGGGTTGGAGCTGTGTCGTTACAGGAGGACGATTGTGAAATTGAAAGGCCAATTGATTATTTTTCAAAACAAAACTCAATATCCACCAGAAAAAAAATATTCAACCATTGAGAAAGAATTATTGAGTTTGGTAATGGCCTTACAACATATTAATATTTACTTTGCAAACAATGCATCAGAGACAGCTGTGTATACCAATCACAATCATTTGACATTTTTGGAAAGAATTGAGGTCAAGAACACCAGATTATTTCGTTGGAATCTTATGTTACAAGCATTTAATTTACAGATTGTACATGTTGTGGGTTGCGAAAATGTTATTGCTGATGCGTTCTTGTGGGTTTAAAAAATGTGTATATAAGATCGAAACGGCACGGTTCGGTGTTGTATGTACGTAGAGTAAGTATGAAAGGTATAGCTCTAATGAACTATGGATCTAGTAATATAATGGCATTAAGTTTTAGAAAGAAAAGCCATCTTTTCATAATGATGAGATAACAAGGTGTAGAGCTGGATGAACACAGCAGGCCAAGCAGCGTCAGAGGAGCAGGAAAGCTGACGTTTCGGGTCTGGACCCTTCTTCAGAAAAATCATAATGATGGTTCTTTTGTTTTTCTAAAGAGGGAGGTGTTGCAAAGTTAGGTAGAGTACTTGTGGCTTGGAAGGCAGGATGTTACAATTTGGTGTTTGTAAATATCGATGTTTATAAAATGATTGGGCAGAAAGCAGTGTGTGGTCACTTTAAAAGATGATGCGCATTTTCTAGGCTTGGAGTTTTAAAAATGTCTGTGGGCAGCTTGTGGGTTTGCAAGGGCACAGAGCATCTGAATTGTAACATTTTTATCAAAAGGCTGGATGGTTGGCAGGCCAAGCTGCAGTTTTGTTTTGTTATCAAGACAACAAATTTTGATTTAACCAATTAATTTAAACCAAGCACTTAGATACTAAAAACCAATTAAATTTAAATCTGATGGATTGGTCCTATGTTGTCAAAACCTATTGTAATAAATTGATATGTCATCAAGGGTGTAGAAGACAGAGACAGTTGCAAAATCAGCAGAGAGTGAATTGCCATCTGCCAAGAGATCAGCTCTCTCAGCTCTTAGACAGAGCATCATCTAAATAAAGGTACCCCGGCACTCTTAGTTAAATTCCTGACAGAAGAATTTGACGGAGAAGGTGTTCCTGACAGAAGATCAATGGAGAAGACACTGAACATTCTGGAATATGTAACCTCACTGTAATTTCGAGAGACTAAGTTGTACATTTTTTAAATTTTGGTTTACATAAGTGGCACCTATATTTATTGAAACAGCATACCATTAGAATTTTGTTTTATTCAGGAATAGTTAATAGTTAGAGGGGGGATTGTTTGGTTTGTTAATAGTTCAGTTAATTTGTTCACAGTTAGAGTTAGATAAATAAATTGTTACTTGTTGATTATAGAGTGAGTGTCAGGAGTTTATTTCATTTAGGCACTCCTTTATAACAGATTGGGGGTGAGAGGTAAGTTATACCACTTTTCACACTTCTTTTAACAGATTATAGAGCGAGGCGAAGCTCTCTGGATGTTTCAGTTTTAGTTATCAGAGGGGGTTGACCTCTGCTTTATAACAAGAGAGAGGCAGGAGACTGGGTATAGAGAAGGGCAGGTGGTGTCGCGGGGTACAGAGACAGACAGACGGGCAGGTGTCAGCTGGTAAATAGACAGGCAGGGGGCTGAGTACAGATAGAGGCAGGTGGTGGCGGGGCAACAGGGAAAGTAATAATCATGCAACTGGGCTAACAAGGGCAGATGGATTGATAGAGCCAACAACAGTAACAAAAATGTACATTTATGTAGTGACTTTAACATAGCCAAATGTCCAAAACACAAGAAGCATTATCAAAAAAAATTGTCACTGAGCCATGTCAGGAGACATGAACGATTGATGAATTCTGTTATATTGTCTTTAGAGCAAAGAATACAGCAGGGAGCTAAAAAGAATTAGATAAAGAAATCTTGAGCTTACGATGAAAGCACTGACCACAAATGGTGGTGTGACAAAAATTCAGAGAGTTGAATTAAGGAAATACCATGATCTCCAAAGGCCTGGAGGGGTTGACAGAGACAGGACCAGGTGTAAGGGCTGGATCGAAGATTCTTGGGAAACACCAGAGGTAATGATCCAAGATTAAGATGAGAAACTGTTGCAGAGTGATCAGTTAGAAAGCGTAGATAGAGTGAATTGTAGGTCAGTGCAGTCCCACATAGATGACAGTGGAGAGACTTCAGAGCAGAATGGTGTGATCGTCAGTCAGGAAGAGTGAGGACAATTTACCCTCATCACAGTCACACAGGATGTCATTGGTGAGTATGAGAGCAGCTATTTCAGTGCTATGGCTGTGGAGGAATCTTGTCCGAATGGTTTAATTATGGAGTTCCAGCAAAGTGGGACACAGACTTGGGAAACTCGCGGAATTTAAAAGGAAAGTAAGGTTGATGGGAGGATGGGGTATTCAGATGTTGAGCAGGGGTTTGATGATTGTAAAGGAGGGAATGGTACTTGAAAAGAATGTCAGATAATTTGCGTGGGGTCAGGGTGCTAACATTTCAGTGGGAATAGAGTCAAGGCAGCAGGAGGTGGGCAGGCAGTCAGATAGGCTGAACAAGTGTGGGGAGGTAAGCAGAGCAAGATCAATATTAACCATCAAACACTGCCAATTGTATATAGACAGATGAAAGAACAGGTAGGTTGGCAGGCAAATACAGGTACAGAGCAAGACAAATGGCTGGTAAGCAGGTAGCAGAGACAGGCAGAGTCGGTATTCTGACGTTGGAGTAATCTATGTTCCTAATGTGAGTTTATTGACTACTCAGTCTTACAACTCCTTCCATACATTCCCTGTATACACTACTGTTTTTTAATATCTTGAAGCAGTATACATAATGAACCCTTTTTTTATGCCCCATCCCCAAATCACCCATGGTACTTTCCATCTATTAATCACCACCAATATATCACCAGTATAGCCAATTGGATATTTACAAAGCCCGTTAAGGGCATGCTAAGGGTGAGGGTGAGGGCGAGTTTGGGAGACTGAGAAGGAGCCAAATCAAAATGGAATTAGAAGGGGAGATAAAGCACTGAACCCTCTGTGGTGCCCACCTATCTCTAGAGAGATCAAGAGTATTGGTGGGCACCACATGTTCCCTCTTCAGGGACACCCCTAGGCACGAACGTAGCTGGAGAAGAGGGACTGACAGTTGGCAGAGGTGGCCCCTTCTACAGCCACTGCCTGGATCTGTTTATAGCCAGCCTGGCCAGGCCCAGGAACAGACCCCCGAGGACGTCGTCCAAACTGCCCACACCCTCCGCACCGGGCGCCCAAAGGTCAGGAACGTGGGGCTGAAGTGCAACCTAAAGCACAACAAAAGGTTTTCTCAAATCACTAAAAAGGTGGCTTCATATATACATTCAGATAATTAACAGCCACTAGCTGCTTCTTCTTTACATTAAATAATCTTAACAATGAGATTAACCAAACATTAACAGGGTAGCTAATTGAATATTTCAGAACCAACATTGGTTGATTTTTCTTCTGTACGTGTTGCAGAACCAAGATGAGTTACTGAAGCTAAGATACAGATCAGAACAGGGTTGGAGTACTCCTCCTGTATTATTCAACTTCAAATAGACTCTTCATTTCACAAGCAGCGGTTATTATAGAGACCAGGCAGTTCTGTGATGGCTCCCAAGAATATTTGCCAATCCCAAGGGCATGATTTACAAGGCAAGAAGTTAGGAAATGAGAATTGCTGGGTCTAGAATGACCAGTCACCTGGATTCCCTATTCACCAGCGTCTTGTTGTCTAATCACAGCATTCACTTCCCGCTGGTTTGTGTATAACAGAGATGAGGAAACTGCAGTGGCTGAGTGTTTTCTACATTATCGGCCTCTGCTAAAAACCCTACATCACTATGTCATGCCTGATATTCCTCACCCACTGTATCCCAAATGGGAGTCACATGTCATCAGGAAGTGGGTTGTGTAATTGACGTGGGGGTAATTGTCAGACCGGATTGTGGGGGGGGGGATGGTTGGGTACTGAGCTACATTAGGGCGGGGGTCATGTGGTCCCATTAGCACTGTAGCTTTCTCTGCTCTAACATTTCGCCCACGTCCCTAGATTTGTTCAATCTCTGGAGGGAAATGGGTGCGAAAGTGTACAATATTGTCCCACAGTGCTTTATGAATCATTTTTATGTTGTCATTGCTTAGATTCCGCATTGGATTTAAGCGAGCTTTCCGCTGGTGCCCCTTTGTACATGTCAGTCGCTACGATCAACAGGAGTTAACGACAGCGGTAAGCTTCCGAATGACACGCAGCAGCACTTACACTGGAAACAGGATCGAGACAACACTGAATAGTCGCATTGATTCCAATCACGATGAAACTGAGGAGGCAAAGGCAAAATTCATCAGTTCACAGACCATTCTTTGAAACGCAGCTGGTTGTGTATAGGATCCCTTCAGAACTGAGGACTAATATTGAGACTGTCAGCTCCCACATGGAGGGAGTTACACTGTCTGGGCTCAAGGAGAAGAAACAGTGAGCCATTCTCCAATGCTGGTTCTCAATTCTTTGATTCAGACATCTGATTTGATATTCCTGAATTTTCTGTACCTGCTCCTGTTCTCCAGTTCTGGTTCCAATTTTCTGATCCTAGCTCCTGATTCCCTGAAACTGCATCCTGATTCTTTGTCCATGTTCCTCCAGATCCCTGCATCTCTGACCCAGTAATCTAAGCTCTCCAGAGAGCTGACCACACTAGACCTGCTGAGGCTCAAAACAACCACTTCATCAGGCTGATTGGCAAGTTACAGACCTTTCATGTAACCTTCATTCCAATGTCTACATTTTGGGCCTTCCACCTTATCGTCACGAATGTGCAGGAAGAATGTAAGTTATGTAAATACAAGATAAAGAAAAGAAATACTTGCATTTACATTGTGCCTTTCACAACCTCAGGGTTTCTCTTTTCAGTAAATGAAGTATTTTTTGAGATGCAGATAATGTCGTCGTGAATAAGGTTGTAATTGTAATAAGTCTGTGCACGAAGCAGTTTCAATTGTCTGTGTATGGGGATTGTGATTTACAATTGAATGAATGAGCTATTCTATCACAGAAAAATAACCTTGTTAAAATGTAAGATTAATCATGGTTAAAATTTGTATTTAATGATTATATTTGTCTATTACTGTTTTCAGTCTAACTTTGAGCTGAGGAGATTTCAGGACACGGGAATCAATTAGTGACTGGTGTGGACCAAGAGGCAATAATCCTGTTTCTAACTTGTCCTTCCACTAATCAGAGTTTGAACAGAAAGAGAGGACAGAAGTTCTGAAATAACCCCTGAGAAAGCATGTCATTCTAGCTGCAGCAAGAAGAACTGGAGTGAACTGAACGCATGATTAAAAATTTATACATTAGAGTGTCATCTTTTGAGCAGAAAAGTTTTAAGGGGAGATGGAATTGAGATGTCTAACAGTATGGAGAATTTTACCAGATTAGATAGAGAGAAAGCAGGAAGACTGGTATCCAGAGGGCACAAATTTCTAATAATTGACAGAAATCCAATTGGAAATAATACAAATTTATTTTACATAGTGCGCCATTATGGTCTGAAAGGCACAGGAAGAGTGGGGGAAGCACATTCAATTGTAAACTAAAGGAGGGAATTGAATGAAGTCTTGAAAAGGGACATTTTTCAAGGGCGTAGGCAAAGAGCAGGGGAAGTGGAGTAATCAAATAGATCTTTTAAAAAGCCAGAACAGATGTAATAAACTGAATAGCCACCTCCCATTTCTATCTTTTTTTGACAATGGCAACACAAAGCAAAGAAAACAGGACCATCCATCCAAATCTGAAGAAAATCACAGCCCTTCTTTCTCTGTCTCTCACTCTGGAAAAGAGGAAATGCATTTAGGAGACCAGAGGTGCAGCATAGAGTAGGGGACAATAGCACAAAGCAGTTAGGCTGGTGCTGAGGATCATTCAGAACAGAGCAATCGGATCCAGAAACAGGTGAGCTGTCACAAGGCTGCTAGTATCTCCAGGACCCCAACGAATGTGAACAGCATTAAGCAGAACGCTGTTTCCAAATCCTATGTGCACCAGAGCTGAATGAAGTTAACATGATTTTATTCACACTCACATCTGCCAGTGCTTAGGAACAGTTAGGACTAGAAAAAATAGTTACACAGAGTGACAGTATCAGCAGTGGTTTCACTCCGCACCTTTTCAAACTGAGTTCCTGTTGAGATTGGTTATTATACCCAACTGGCTTGGCCACTGGTCCCACTAGATTCAACATTGAAATACAATCACGATATTCCTGGGAAACAGGTCCTTTGGCCTATTCAATGCATGTCAATAATTACTCAGTCTACTCCCATTTCTTATCTCATTTCTGTCATTCGCCAAACTAATTTAATCTAACTACTCTTGGCTAATCTCTTCTTGAGCTTTGATATTGTTTCTGCCTCAACCACAAGCCTATATTTAAATAACACAGTGTTGCCTTGTGCAGGAGTTTCTCCTGTCCTCTTGTTTTAATTGTATGTTGGATCTATAGCCCTGGTCTCAGATTTTCAGTTACCAGTTACAGCCTGATCCCACCTCACCTGTCCATCCCTTCATTGTTTAGAAACAGAGGTGCACCTCAAATGTAAATTGCTGCTAGCACACAGATGATTTTGGACAACAGGAACGAGAAGATGTGGAGTTGTGTAGTCATGTTTCCCTGGCTACCCCAGAACTGCCACTACTACATCCCCCCACCAAACAAAGAATTGCTGCTATCCACAAACCATCCACTGGCTGTTGCACCATGATACCACATTCAGATAAGGCAGGTCATGGCAACATGTTTATGGTTCATTCTTGAAAGAGGAAGCGTGAAATAGTCACACCAGCAGTGCAGAGGAGTTATTTAAGAGGCTAGGCAACCTTGTTGCAAGTAAATTCATATTTTTGGATCTTTCTCCAATGTCTGGAAATACTCTGGTGTGTTTTTGAAGATGTTCTGCTACACCTGTCATAGTATTCTTACTTCTTTACAGGGAGAGCAGAAGAAGGCATGGCTTCTGTCTGTGGACAAAGAGGTGGGCAGCTGGTGAGGGCGGTGGGCAGATGGAGAGGGGGGTGGGTAGGCATGGATGGACATGTTTCTGAGATAGGCTAAAAGGGGAGTACAGTTTGATGTGGAGAAATGTGAGGTAACAAAGTCGAGTTTTTAGGAACAAAAACAGAAATTGCTGGGAAAACTCAGCAGGTCTGGCAGCATCTGTTGAGAGAAAGTAGAGACAATGTTTTAGGTCCAGTGATCCTTCTTCAGAACTGATTGTAGCTAGGAAAAGTTTGGTATATAGGCTGAAGTTGGGTGGGAGAAAAGAACAAAGAACAAAGAAAATTACAGCACAGGAACAGGCCCGTCGGCCCTCCAAGCCTGCGCTGATCCAGATCCTCTATCTAAACCTGTCGCCTATTTTCCAAGGATCTGTATCCCTCTGCTCCCTGCCCATTCATGTTCTGTCTAGATACATCTTAAATGATGCTGTCATGCCCGCCTCTCCCACCTCCGCTGGCAACGCGTTCCACGCACCCACCACCCTCTGCGTAAAGAACTTTCCACGCATATCTCCCTTAAACTTTTCCCCGCTCACCTTGAAATCGTGACCCCTAGTAATTGAGTCCCCCACTCTGGGAAAATGCTTATTGCCATCCACTCTGCCTATACCTCTCATGATTTTGTAGACCTCAATCAGGTCCCCCCTCAACCTCTGTCTTTCTAATGTAAATAATCCTAATCTATTCAACCTCTCTTTATAGCTAGCGCCCTCCATACCAGGCAACATCCTGGTGAACCTCTTCTGCACCCTCTCCAAAGCATCCACATCCTTTTGGTAATGTGGCGACCAGAACTCTACTCAGTATTCCAAATGTGGTTGAACCAAAGTCCTATACAACTGTAACATAACCTGCCAACTCTTGTACTCAATACCCCGTCCGATGAATGAAAGCATGCCGTATGCCTTCTTGACCACTCTATCCACCTGTGTTGCCACCTTCAGGGTACAATGGACCTGAACACCCAGATCTCTCTGTGCATCAATTTTCCCCAGGGCTTTTCCATTTACCGTATAGTTCGCTCTTGAATTGGATCTTCCAAAATGCATCACCTCGCATTTGCCTGGATTGAACTCCATCTGCCATTTCTCCGCCCAACTCTCCAATCTATCTATATTCTGCTGCATTCTCTGACAGTCCCCTTCACTATCTGCTCCTCCACCAATCTAAATGTCATCTGCAAACTTGCTAATCAGACCATCTATACCTTTCTCCAGATCATTATGTATATCACAAACAACAGTGGTCCCAACACGGATCCCTGTGGAACACCACTGGTCACAGTTCTCCATTGTGAGAAACTCCCTTCCACTACAACTCTCTGTCTCCTGTTGCCCAGCCAGTTCTCTATCCATCTAGCTAGTTCACCCTGGACCCCATGCGACTTCCCTTTCTCCATCAGCCTACCATGGGGAACCTTATCAAATGCCTTACTGAAGTCCATGTATATGATATCTACAGCCTTTCCCTCATCTATCAACTTTGTCACTTCCTCAAAGAATTCTATCAAGTTGGTAAGACATGACCTTCCCTGCACAAAACCATGCTGTCTATCACTAATAAGCCCATTTTCTTCCAAATGTAAATAGATCCTATCCCTCAGTATCTTCTCCAGCAGCTTCCCAGCCACTGACATCAGGCTCACCGGTCTATAATTACCTGGATTATACTTGCTACCCTTCTTAAACAAGGGGACAACATTAGCAATTCTCCAGTCCTCCGGGATCTCACCCATGCTCAAGGATGCTGCAAAGATATCTGTTAAGGCCCCAGCTATTTCCTCTCTCGCTTCCCTCAGTAACCTAGGATAGATCCCATCCGGACCTGGGGACTTGTCCACCTTTTTTAGAATACCCAACACTTCCACCCCCGCCCCCCCCCCCCCCCACCAATATGCCAACTTGACCTAGAGTAATCAAACATCTATCCCTAATCTCAACATCCGTCATGTCCCTCTCCTCGGTGAATACCGACACAAAGTACTCATTAAGAATCTCACTCATTTTCTCTGACTCCTCGCATAACTTTCCTCCTTTGTCCTTGAGTGGGCCAACCCTTTCTCTAGTTACCCTCTTGCTCCTTATGTACGAATAAAAGGCTTTGGGATTTTCCTTAACCCTGTTTGCTAAAGATATTTCATGACCCCTTTTAGCCCTCTTAATTCCTCGTTTCAGATGGTCCTACTTTCCCGATATTTTTCCAAAGCTTCGTCTGTTTTCAGTCACCTCGACCTTATATATGCTTCCTTTTTCCTCTTTGCTAGTCTCACAGTTTCACCTGTCATCCATGGTTCCCTAATCTTGCCCTTTCTATCCCTCATTTTCACAGGGACATGTCTGTCCTACACTCTAATCAACCTCTTTTTAAAAGCCTCCCACATATCAAGTGTGGATTTACCCTCAAAGAGCTGCTCCCAATCCACATTCCCCAGCTCCTGTCGAATCTTGCTATAGTTGGCCTTCCCCCAATTTAGCACTCTTCCTTTAGGACCACTCCCGTCTTTGTCCATGAGTATTCTAAAACTTACAGAATTGTGATCACTATTCCCAAAGTAATCCCCTTCTGAAACTTCAAACACCTGGCCGGGTTCATTCCCCAACACCAGGTCCAGTATGGCCCCTCCCTGAGTTGGACTATTTACATACTGCTCTATAAAACCCTTCTGGATGCTCCTTACAAATTCTACTCCATCTAAACCTGTAACACTAAGTGAATCCCAGTCAATGTTGGGAAAATTAAAATCTCCCATCACCACCACCCTGTTGCTCCTATATCTTTCCATAATCTGTCTACATATTTGTACCTCTATCTCACGCTCGCTGTTGGGAGGCCAACATTTTTACCGCACCCTTCCTATTTCTGAGCTCTGCCCATATTGCCTCACAGCTCGAGTCCTTCATCGTGCCCTCCTTCAGCACAGCTGTGATATCCTCTTTGACCAGTAATGCAACTCTTCCACCCCTTTTACCTCCCTCTCT